TTACTGCCCTGTGTCCACTCTGTCCCTTCAGCGTCCATCAGTCATACGTCTAAGTGACAGATGGCCTGGGTGCTCTTGAACGTGGCCACAGGCACGTCCCCCATTCTGGGCGGTTTTGCAGGTGGCAATGTCCCTCCCCTCTTGTTATGTGGAATGTTCTCGTCTGAAGACCCCTCGCTGTTAGGAAGGCTGACCACATGGGACCCTGGTGGCCGATGGGGCGGGCAGCACTCGGCTGCCTGCTGAGGCTGGGTGCAATGCCAGAGGGCACACGGTGACAAAGGTCTGCAGAATTCCTGAAGATCTGACAGTGTCATGAGCCTGTGTGAGCCAGCCCTGGCACGCACTGCCACCTTCTTGCCGCCTGGCCCCATCTCTAAGCCTTGTGGCCGGGGTCCCTTTCCTTTCCTACCCACTGCAGGCATTTCCTGACTGCCTGGGCTTGCATGTGATTTGCCTCCTGAACTCATGCGAGACTTGAAGTCCCAACATTTTCAGTTGATGGCCGGAGAGGATGCAGGCTTCATCCTTGTGCGGTTTCAGAGGTAGCCTGGGGGACAGGCCTGTTGAAGGGAATTCTTGCCAGAGAACTGTTAGAGAAGCCTTGGGCAGGCCCAGCCTCTCCCACAGACTGCTTCCTGGCTGGCTGTGTGGTCCTTCCGCTTTGTGCCATGGCCCCTCTCAGAGCCAGGGTGGGTGCCTCTGACTGTGAGCTACCCCCGTCACTTGGTAAGAGAGCTGCCTCCGTCCCCCTCCTGTGAGCTAGCCTCGACTCAGGTAGGAGAGCTGCCTCTGTCCCCCTCCTGACTCCTGTGGCTGTGAGCTAGCCTCGTCCAAGGTAGGATAGCTGCCTCTGTTCCCCTCCTGTGAGCTAGCCTCGACCCAGGTAGGAGAGCTGCTTCCGTCCCCCTCCTGTGGATGAGAGCTAGCCTCGACCCAGGTAGGAGAGCTGCTTCCATCCCCCTCCTGTGGATGAGAGCTGGGCCTGACCCAGGTAGGAGAGCTGCTTCCATCCCCCTCCTGTGGATGAGAGCTAGCCTCGACCCAGGTAGGAGAGCTCCCAGCCTGTCTGGCCTCAGTGACTTGCTTCTTGCTGTGTCCCTTGGACACCTCCTCCCGTTGTTACCTCGCCTGCTGCTTTTCCCAGTTAAAGGAACTCCTCAGCTGGTGCCAGCATCTCATGGGAAGGCAGGCAGGCTGGGTCTTGTGTGGGGAGGAAAGTTTGAGTCCAACATGGTTTGACTGTAATTATGGAAAGGTTGGTCCTGTGCTGTTCAACCATGTGAGTTGATGGGGTGGGCGGGACTAAGACCGCGTCCACCACTGGAACTCTTTTTATCTTTATAATCCTTTTATAAAAACCTCTTTTCTCAGGAAAGAAGTGATTAGTAGTAAGCTTGTGTTACTTTAACCCAGGCTGGAGGAGGCGGTGTGGATTTTGAATCTCAGTGCTCAGGCAGGGCCGAGTCAGTGTAGTGTTTCTGTTGTGCTGGTGTCATCTGTCAGAGGTGGTCCCGCTCAAGGTCAGGGGTGCTTCCGCTCTGGGTGCAGACATGGGAAGTGTCTGAGCAGCCGGTCTGCTGAGCTCCTGTTGCTACAGAAGGGGCCGTGGGAAGCACTGGGTGGGGTGCGCTGCCCTGAGATCATCTCCCAGTGTGTACTGAGAACCACCCCAGAGGGGGGTCATGTGCTCCTGCAGACAGCGGGTGGTTTCCTGGGCGTCCCTCCAGCAGGCTTGGGGTAAGGCAGGTACCCCGGCAGCATGCCTGATTTGAGATCTGGCTGTCATTTCTTCCTGGCCCTCCTCGGTTGATCTTTCAAGGTCATCCTAAGTAGTGGTGGGTGGAGACACACTTGTCTGGTCATGGCTTTGTCAGCCCAGAGAGCCCTTCTTCCAGGAAACAGAGACTTGGATTCCAAGGCCTGTGGGATCCACATCCCAAGATGCTTTGAAGTGATTGAGGCCTCTGCATTCTTTTCTTTCATATTTTGAGCATAAGGCAGTATGACTCAACACTAAAAAACCACAGAGATATGAACGCAGTTTTAAGCTTCCTTACTTCTGTTGGGGAGTGGGAGAGAGGCTGTTTGGAGAGCCTTGGTGTGGCAGTCCTGGCCACCTGTGTGGCTAGCCGTCCTGTCCCCGGGGCCCAGGGGACATTAGGTTGGCTTTCAAACGGAAGGATAATTCTGATCTGGAAAAGACAGACTGGTTCTTAGACTTTCAGGTGGGAAATGACAAAAGTGGTTTCTGTAAAGGTTTCTCAGTAGTAAGTGGTAGTGGCTGCCACCCGGTGGTCTTGGCCCTCTGTGAAGGCCGCCTAGTTGTTGTGGTCCTGGTGATGCCAGCTGGCCACTGGCCATGTGGAATCAGATGGCTGTGACTGGCTTCCCAGTTTATTTGTGGACACTAAATTTCATATAATGCTCATGTTAAAAGATCTTTTTTGGGGGTTGGTGCTATTGTTCAACTGGCTAATGCTCTGCTTTGCAAAGCTGGCATCCCATATGGATAAAAATGCTGGTCTGTGTCCCAGCTGCTCCACTTCCCATGGAAAGCAGTGGAGGACGGCTCAAAGCCTTGGGACCCTGTACCCTCATGGGAGACTCAGAAGAGGCTCCTGGCTTCGGCTCTGGTTGTTGTAGGCATTTGAGGAGTGAACCAGTGGATGGAAGATCTTTCTCTGTCTCTCTATAAATCTGCCTTGATAATGAAAATGAATAAATCTTTAAAAAATGTTTTTTGACAATTAAAACGTGAGGAAGATGTTGTGGCCCCTGCAGAAACCAGGGGGTGAAAGGGACTATTCCATCCCTACCCCCTCCTGCCTTCCAGCCTGTGTCATCGAGGATGGCACTTTGGGGCTTTTGCTTGTGTTTGCAGGTTGCAGTGCTTGTCTCAGTACCTAGAGAAGTTCTCTTGCACGTGCTGGTCGCGTCATGCCAAAGGCGGTCAGTATGGGTCAGTCTAAGCGCCTCGGAGCCATTCAGAGAGGGGCTGCTTGCGTAGTGACGTGCCTTCTGAGCGGCGACGGAGCCTGCCGTGACAGCCTGTGTGGGCTGACAGCTGATTCTGACCTTTTCGTGTTGCATCGAGCAGGTCTGAGTACTGAGTGCACAGGTGCGCTTTGCAAGGTGGGATCGTGAAAGAAGTCACAGAACCCGCGGACTGTTCCAGAATCGGCCCTTGGCAGTGCTGCTGCTCACACACCTGGTCCAGGTCTGGCCTCACAAAAATGGAAAGAGAACTAAGGAAACTTCCGTCCCCCAGCTTTTGTAGTAAGCTGATTTTCCACTGATGTGTTAAGATCACTCAGTGTGTATGTTTGTTTATACGTTATGGTTAAAGCAGGAGTTGTATGTTTTATAAATTGAGAATGTAATTCAAATTTTTGTTTCATACACTGAGTTAACCACTGATATCCGTTTGTAAAGACTACGAGGAGCTTAAGGACAAAGATGCCTCCCCCTCTCCATGGATGTATGGGAGGGGGAGCGGACAGCTCAAGAAGGGCAGGGCGTGTGAGGCATGCGCTGTCCTGGGTGAAGCTGGCTGTGTCTGGCTGTGTGCTCACGTGTAACCGGCCTGTCCCCAGCTGAGTGGGGAGGAGCGGTGCAGCTCAGGTGAGGCGTGCTCTTGGTCTCTCCGCCACTGATTCCAGAACCTCTGCAGAGGCCCCACCTGTGTGCCGCAGGGGTGGGCTTGCAGCACGGTGGGAGGGGCGTTAGGGATGTAGCTGCAGCTGGACCCCTGATGCCAAGGCACACTGAGCACGGAGACTAGGAAGGAGAGCCAGCCATGGAACATGCCACCCACCACCTTTCTCCTCCCCCACCTCTCCCTCCTCTCCCCTCCTTCCCTCCCTCCCTCCCTGCCTTCCTCCCTGCCTCCCTGCTTCCCTGCTTCCCTGCCTGCCTTCCTCCCTCCCTCCTTCCCTCCCTCCCTCCCTCTCTCACTCCCTCTCTCCCTCCCTGCCTCCCTGCTTTCTTCCCTCCCTCCCTCCCTGCTTTCTTCCCTCCCTCCCTCCCTGCTTTCTTCCCTCCCTGCCTCCCTGCTTTCTTCCCTCCCTCCCTCCCTGCTTTCTTCCCTCCCTCCCTCCCTCCTTGCCTCCCTCCCTCCCTCCGTGCCTCCCGGCTTCCCTGCTTCCCTCCGTGCCTCCCGGCTTCCCTGCTTCCCTCCGTGCCTCCCTGCTTCCCTGCCTCCCTCTCTCCCTCCCTGCCTCCCTGCTTTCTTCCCTCCCTCCCTCCATCCCTCCCTCCCTGCCTCCCTGCCTCCCTGCCTTCTTTCTTTCCTTCCTGCATTTTACAGAAAGGGAGAGACAGAGAAGGTGGTCCTTCACCCACCACCTCACGCCCCTCAGTGGTTGCACCTGCCAGATCTGGGCCAGGGTGAAGCCTGGAGCTTCTTCCTGGTCTCCCACTCGGGCTGCAGGGCCCAAACAGCAGGACCATCTTCTTGCTGCCTTCCCAGGTGCGTTAGCAGGGGTTGGATCAGAGGTGGAGCAGCTGGGACACAGACTGGTGCAAGTATAGGAGGCTGGTGTTGCAGGTGGTGGCTCACTGGCTGCGCCACTCTAGCCCCATAGACGCTTACCTCCGCTTACTCACTCACCTTGCTGCTTGAAGGCTTCGGGAAGAGGACAGTTGTTACTTTCAGGCCGTTCCCAGTGCCTGGAATCCGCACATGCAAGTACTCAGGCAGTTCACTTGGGTGCAGCCCTACTGAGTGCTCAGGCAGTTCACTTGGGTGCGGCCCTACTGAGTGCTCAGGCAGTTCACTTGGGTGCGGCCCTACTGAGTGCTCAGGCAGTTCACTTGGGTGCGGCCCTACTGAGTGCTCAGGCAGTTCACTTGGGTGCGGCCCTACTGAGTGCTCAGGCAGTTCACTTGGGTGCGGCCCTACTGAGTGCTCACTTGGGAGTAGCCTTACTGATAGCACAGGTGATGTGTGTGACCTCCCTCAGCGGTGTCAGTAACGTGGAGTGCTCTCTCCCCTCCAGGGCGACTGTGTCGTCACCGTCCTGCTGGCCGAGGAGGACAGAGTGGAAGAGGATGTCGTGTTTTACTTAGTGTTTTCGGGTTCTGCCCTCCATCACTGTGCGAGCACTCGGAAGGTCAGCTCTGACACGTTGGAGACCATCGCTCCTGGTAAGTACTTGGACTCTGGTGTGTTCCTAGGCAGTGACTGGGAAAGCGAGTTGGGATGTTGGTACTGTAGGCAGATCTCTACATCCGTGCTGTTACACAGTCTGGAGCTGCCTCTCAAGTGAAGTCATGCCTTGGGTCAGCGGCACTGCTGCTCAGTTGGCGTGCTGGGATCTTCAGGAAGGCCAGGGCACCTGTGGGTGAGGTGAGGTGATGTCACGGTGAGGTGACGTGATGTCATGGTGAGGTGAGGTGATGTCACGGTGAGGTGACGTGATGTCATGGTGAGGTGAGGTGATGTCACGGTGAGGTGACGTGATGTCATGGTGAGGTGAGGTGATGTCACGGTGAGGTGACGTGATGTCATGGTGAGGTGAGGTGATGTCACGGTGAGGTGACGTGATGTCATGGTGAGGTGAGGTGACGGTGAGGTGACATGATGTCACGCCATGGGTCAGCAGCACTGCTGCTCTGTTGGCATGCTGGGATCTTCAGAAAGCCTGGTGTGTCCTTGTGGCCCCCGAGGCAGTGGTGAGCTGTGCAGCCCTCCTGGGGGCTCCCTTGAGCTCTGTAGGGATCTGATGAGCTGGCGTGGCGCCTGCCAGGCGTGCATCTCCATCTTGTGTTCTGTGCTCCAGTGAGTCTGGGCGTTCCTCGCTTGGTGCACAAGGAAGCTGAGGCGGAGCGCCTGGGCTCCCTGCCCGAGGCCTTCTGGCTCCGCAGCTGGTTCTCCCTCTTCTGTGAGCATCTTGCCCAGTCCTGCAGGTGTTTTGTGTTCCTCTTACGTATTAACTGAACCTGGTTGGGACAGTTTGCAAGACGGAGTTAATGTTTAGTTCATGTTTCTTCAATCTGTCTCTTCCTTAATCACCCTCCCCCCTCCTAAATTCTTTGGGGTAGATCTCTAAAGACATTCAGAAACTTTCCCGACTTCCTGTTGGAACTAAAAGAAAAAGCCTGGGATTCTTTCTTACTTTCTTGTAAGCAGGAAATGGGAACTGGCTGCAGGTGTTGGCTCTCTCCGACCTGCTGCAGCTGCTGGATGTGACTGTGTGTCTCCGCAGTGTGTGGGCAGGATGGGTCCCTGCGTTCCGTGTCTGCCAAGGCTGTCCTTGCAGCTCTGCTCTATAGGTATTGGAGGAATGATGCATTTTTGCACAAAGCCTGATTTTGTTACTGGGTCTGTGTCACCTAACCTGTGGTGAAATGCCCGCTGTGCCAGCTGTGTCACTTCTGGAGCCCACGCTGTAGGGAAGAGGCTGCCAGGCTCGTGTGGGTGTGCCTGGGCGGGTGCTGGGCTCCTCGTCAGTAGCAATGCTTGGTTTACTCTGTGTGTTTCCTGAAGGCCCATGCTGCGAACCCTGGTCCTGCCCTGGTGGGGAGACTCAGGTGGCCTGGTGATCTTGGAGGTGCAACTTGGGAGCGGTAGTGGCTGCAGGGCAGTATCAGGCTCCTGGCCACTCGTGCTGTGGCCACTGCCTTCCTGACAGTGGGTTTCAGTTCTCCGCAAATCTCCCACCCGCTGCTAGGGAACACTTGTGCCCAGCAGCCCTGCTCTTCTGGGCTCTCCCCGTGTTTCCCCCACCCGTTCTGCTCCGTTTGGCATCAGCTTTGCAGTGCTGTTGGTTCTTGCACGCATCCTTCATGTTGCGATGTTGGCGGAGGTGCTGTCACTGCCCGGCGGCCTTCTGCCGCGTGTGCAGGAGCCAGGCTGCTTCCGTGGAAGATGCTCCCTTCTCCTGACACCGTCCGGGGCAGGCGGACCGGAGAGGAGGAAGCGTAGGTCTGGGGCATGTCTCTTTGAGGCATAGCAAAGCTGCACTGTGAAGGCAGGTTTCAGTCTGGATGTCAGACATTTACATCGTCCTGTGTGAAGTTGTGATGTCAGCCTTTGCTCAGTGGACTGAGAGCTGCTTAGGGCTGTCGGGAACTGGTGGCTGCTTCTAAATGAACGGGGTGGGTTGCAGTTACCGATCAGGTCTGTGGACCACAGCAATTCTTCTCTTTAACATTCGGTTGAAGTACATATTATTACTTCTGTGTGTCTTTGTAATTTGTTCGGAAGTGAAGTGAGGCTGTGTGTGCTGTTTTGGGTGACATTGTTCAAGGGCCCGTCTGCGTCCCACGGCTCCTAACTTACGGGCCGGCGGACAGTGTCACGGGGAAGATTTTCTTTCTGAAGTGGCCTTCTCAGATCTTCGTGACTCTCCCCTTCTCTTCTGGGGCTCCTGCCCCTGGCAGCAGGGAGCAGGGTGGAGACACCCTGAGTTGTCTCTTGCAAAGCACTGGTTATGAGTCATGTCTGGCACCCAGTGAATATTACCTAAGTGCCTGTTAGCTGGGAGGGGCAGCAAGGGGGCAGGCACAGTAGAAGCAGCTGACCTGCAGGGCCCTTCCTGCTCCTCCCCTTGAACCCTCCCCTTGGTGGACGCCACAGCTACTTGCAGTTGGCTGTCTCCCCAGGGACCATGAGCCCTTGGCGGGCTAGGAGGGTTCCTCATGTGTCTCCACCCCCGGCCAGTGCCCCGTGGCAGTGGGCTTCCAGCTGTCTGGCCGACAGAACTGAGAGAGGTTGTAGCGCTGTGGGCAGGAAGTGCTCTTCTGTGCTGGCTGCTGTGGGTGTGTCATCAGGCTGCTGCCCTGCAAAGAAAGCCCATTTGTTTTCTAACTTTATCTCATGTATTTAAGAAGGCTACGATTTAGTTTTGACTTGTTATTGGCTTGGTGTTGTGTTTCTTTTCTTCCTAATTGATTTATTGTTTGAGTGAGCAGAGCAGGCGCATGGGCCTCAGCACTGCCACCTGCTGGTGCACTTCCAAACGCCACAACAGTCCTGGCTGGGGCAGGCTGGTGCTGGGAACCAGAAACTCAGTCCCCACCCATCCACCGCCCACATGCTGGCAGGAACCCAGTACTTGAGCCATCACTGCTGTCCCCTAGGGTGTGGACTGGCAGGGAACAAGCCAGGAGCCAGAGCTGGGTGTGAAACAAGAGCGTCCTAAGCCCTGAGCTAAGTGCCTCCATGGTCGCTGGCAGGGCGCTGTGTCCAGTGTGTGCACATGGCACTGCCCTGCCCCCACCCACCCGTGGAAGATGCTCCCTTCTCCTACAGCCTCCTAGAGGCCTTCCGGTGGAGGCAGGGCCCGGGTCACATGTCTGTGCAGATATCCCTTGGGGGCCTGAGGCTTTGAGCTGGGCGCCCCAGTCCCACTGGCCTGTCTCTCCAAGGGTCTGCCCACGAGGCCCACCGGCCTCGAGTCCTTGGCTGTCCGCCTGCAGCCTGACTCACGGCTGTGGTGTCTGAGGAGCTCTGTGACCTGGGCAAGCTACTTGTTGAAGTTTTAGTTTTCTTGTCTGTGACAGGGGACAGTGCTTACCTTATAAAATGGCTGTGCAGAGGAAATGAGCTGTGTGGTGCGTGGCCTGGGGCGGGCGGTTGGTGAGTGAGTAGCTGGTAGCAGCCTAGAATCACAGCTGTGGGAGAGTCCTTTCCTCACCGGGCTCAAGGACTTGAGGCTCCACGGGGCCAAGAGGAGTGACAGTCAGCTTCCTTGTCTTCCTGATTGGCCACGTGGGAATGACAGGAGGCGTGCTCAGCCTGGGTCCTGGCCTCCCAGGTCTGCAGCTGCCGAGAGAAAAGTGCCTGTGGCCAGTTAGGTGGCGCACGAGGAGGCGTAAGCAGCGCAAACATTGACACAGCTCTCCTTTCTTCTCGTCAGAGGACATTTTCTAGGAGAAGGGAGATGGTGGTAGAACAGTGTTCTGGCTTGTTGAGGTCAGCATTTGACAGTGAAGAGAAGCAGTGGCTGTTTTGTTGAATACATTCTGCTTAGTAGAAGCCTGGAAGAACTCGTGAGTCTCAAGAACTGCCTGCCCGCAGACCTGTAGAGTGGCTGAGCCCGCAGGGGGCATGCGGGGTGCGCCTGCCTGTGGGGCTGTGCCTGACGGTGGGCGGTTCACTGCTGTCTTTGCATTCCTGGTTTGGGTGGGTGGTTGTGAGGCCGGAGATTGCTGGCAACAGTGAGGCAGAACCGTGTCATTGTGCAGCTCAGAATGCTTCCTGGTCAGCCTGTTGGGCTGGGGACGAGGCGAGGGGTGAGAGCCGAGTCCGCTCAGTAAGCCTGTGAGTGGATAGGGTTCGCCTGCGACTCAGCCACCCTTGGGCCTGGAGCTGCAGCGTGGTGGGATGCCAGGCTGATGGCTCTTGAGGCTCATTGACATCTGCAAATGGAAAAGCTGCTGGTGCTCAGAGAAGGATGGGTGACGCTGGGCATCGGCAGGGACGCTCACGCTGTTTGCTTCTTCTGTCAGGTCATGACTGCTGTGAGACCGTGAAGGTGCTGCTGTGCGCCTCCAGAGGCGGCCTGCCCGTCTCTGTGGTGGCCGAGGAAGACTTCCGCTTCATCAAGGATGAGGCATATGACGCAGCCCAGTTCCTGGCGACCAGCGCTGGCAACCAGCAGGCTCTAAACTTCACCCGCTTCCTGGACCGGTCAGGGCCGCCAGCCGGGGACGTGAATTCCCTGGACGAGAAGGTTGCGCTGGCATTCCGACACCTGAAGCTGCCGGCCGAGTGGAACGTGCTGGGGACTGATGCGGCTCTGCACGGTAAGGGTCTTGTGGTCCAGAGGCAGGCGTGAACTAGTTTGGAGTACTTCTGTCTCCGTGGGCTGCTGATGTGATCTCTGTCCAAGCCTCGGGGAGAGGCTGAGTGCATGATAAACAGGTCTGCCCCGTGCTGCTCAGCTTCCTGGATTGCCAGCGTGATCTTTTGAGCATATCAGGTAGCTTTTGGGGTTCAGCTTTCAAAGACAGGGTGCTCATTATTGTGTCCTGAAGTTCCCAGGAGACAGTCTGGAGTTGGAGTAGAAAGTCGGGGTGCGGGGCGTGTGGAGGAAGCGGTCTGCTTCTTCAGCCTGTGCAGTTTCACGGCCTCCATGTGAGGATGCACCCTCTTGGACAACACTGGGACCCCAGCTGGGGCAGCTGCATGGTACCCCTCTGCCCAGGCAAGTAGCCAGCAGCTAGCGGGCATTCTGAGCCTGATGAATGGCACCCCAGGCCCCCTCTCGGCAGGGGAAGGGGACAGCTGCAATCTGCCCAGAGAAGGGGGTCTGGGGATGGATCAGAGTAGGAACAGCTTACTGAATGGGAAGACTGTTTTGTGGGGTCTTCCAGGGACCAGGCCACTGCACTCACAGGGCTTTGAGGGGGAAACTGGAGGGCATGTCTGGGCTAGGCTAAGGCACCCGCCCATGTGTGAGACCTGGACTGGGCTAAATAGCATCACCTACCACTTGCTGGCACTTGCAGAAGCTGGGGCTGGGAGCGTGCCTGGCTGAGCTGGACCGCAGTACCTCCCTGCAAGTCCCAGAGCAGGGGTAGGATTAGGCTGGACCACTGCACTCACCAGAATATAAGAGAATTGGATCTTTGCTAGTGGGCTTGGCTCTGAGAGACTATAGTACCTGCTGGTTTGTGCTGAGAGCTGGGGGTGGTGACAGGCAAAGCCAGGCTAGACTACAGAACTCACCTGGCACTTGTGGGAGCTGGGGCTGGGAGGAGGCTGGGTTGGACCAGGCTGCAGCACCTGGCAGCACATGCACAGGCAAGGACTGAGGGTACACCATGCCCAAGAGGGCCACAGCACCTGCTGGCACATGTGGGTTCTGGGGCTGGGAGCCGTCCTGGTAGGGGAACTTGGGGAACTCCCCTGCTAGGTTGCAGCTCCTGCTGTGAGCGCAGGAGCCTGAGCTGGGGGGCAGGTCAGGCTAGGCTAGGCTGCCAGCACCTCTCAGCATGTGAGCTAGGTCTCGGTCAGTCAACAGCACACACTGGCGTGAGAGACAGCCAGGGTAGGGTGTGGGTCACTCCTGGCTGAACTAAGCTGCAGTATCCACCAGGGAGAGCTAAGACTATGGGTGGCCTATGCCAGGCTGGTTTATTGTACAAGGCCTGGGGCTGGGAACGGACCAGGTAGGGGAACTTTGGGGAATCCCCTCTCCCCTGCTAAGGTGCAGCTCCCACTGGTGAGTTCAGGAGATGGGACTGTGCGTTGACTGAGCTGGGTAAGGCTCCAGCATCCATCGGCATATGTGTGGGCTGGGTCTGAAGGCATGCCATACAAGGCTAAGCTCCAGCAGCTGCTGCTTTGAGTGAAAGCCAAGTCTTGAGGTGGGCCAGGCTGGGCTAGGATGCTGCACCCATCAGCAAGAGCTAGGATGGACGTGGGCCAGTTAGGCTAGGCTGTAGTGCCTGCTGGTTAGTTCCAGGATTGCAAGCCAGCCATGTCAGGGCTGCAGCACATGCAAAATCAGAGCTGGGAGTGGGCCTGCTAGGGGAACCTGGGCCACTCTTCATCCCCTGCTAGGCTGTATGTAGCTCCCACTGGTGAGTATGAGAGCCTGAGCTGGGGGCAGGGTAGGCCAGGCCAGAGATGGCTGGACTGCAGCATCTATTGGTATATGTGAGAGCTAGGTCTGGGGATGTGTCAGGCTCGATTCAGTCTATAGCCCACATTGTCATGAGCGAGAGTTATGACCAGGTACAGGCTGGGCCGGGTTGGACCACAACATCCACCAATTGGGCTGGGGGTGGGCCAGGCTGGGCTAGGCTGCTGCACCCGGTGATATAAGCTGGGACTGGTGGTGGCTTGGTCTGAGCCAGGCTGTAGCACCTGCCAGCAAATGCCAAGATTGTGAGTGTTCAAACTGACTGGGCCACGGCACACTGGCATGCACATGCATTGGGCACTTCCTTGCTGGATTAATGTTTCCATTGTTGACTGTGAGAGCTGGGACTGGGGGTTTGCCGGTCTCGGGATGGGCCAGACTGGGCACGAGGCAGCCAGGCTAGGCTACAGCATTTGCTTGCAAGTTCCGGAATTGGGTGTGAGTCTTGTCAGGCTGGACTGCAGTACTCCCTGTAAGATTTGGGGCTGGGAGCAGTCCTGATGGTAAACTGGGCACTCCCCTACTGTGCTGCAGCTCGCATTAGTGAGCCTGAGAGCCAGGGTTGGTGGGGGCGGACCAGGCTGGTCAGGGCAGCAGCACCCCTTGGCTTATGTATGGACCAGGACTAGGGGTGGGGCGGGCTGAGCTAAATGGCAGCACCCATGGGAGTGTTATAAAAGCCAGATGGAATGCAGAACGGACCAGGCTAGGCCTCAGCGTATGCCAGCACATGCCAAATCTGGGGCTGGGAGGACCTGGTTTAGGTTTTTGCAAGTCTCCCTGACTGGGCTACAGGACCCGCTGGTGTTTGTGAAGATCGCCTGTGACAGGCTGTACTGGGCGTGGCTGTAGCACCCATCAGTTTGCATGAGAGAAGAGGCTGGGGTGGAGTGACCAGGTAACTGCATTCCGTGCCATGTGCATTGGCTCAGGTGATGGACTGAACCCGACCCTGCACTGGCTGGTGTGTGCTAGAGTCAATTGTGAGGTCACCCCAGGCAAGTTTTCTTAGGTGGTTATACTCAAACCCTGACTACAGGGTCTGACCCTGGAGTGTGCGTGTCAGGACTGGGCCTCTTCTGTGCTGATGGCTGTGCAGTGGACAGCATGCCCAGATGTACACAGGAGACACAGCCAGCTGAGCTAGGCCAGTAGAGGATGTCGACTACCTCATCAGAGATGGTGAGCAGGACAGGTTGGACAGCTGTCCTGGCCAAGCTTTGCAGCGTGTTCCTGGGCCTGTGGGTGCACTGAGGTGGACTTGGTCAGATAGTAGGTCTTGGAAAAATTTTCTTAACCCTGGAGCAGTGAAACTGACATCTCAGCGCTGTTGAAACCAGTCAAATAACATTTTCCGTTTGGGGCTCTAGGGTATCATCAAGAGACCCCCATTTCTGAGTGCTGTAGTTTGACAGCAAGGAGCCGCCCTCTCCCCTTCCTCCCCTGCGTCACACCTGCCTTCCTCCGTGCCTTCGCGGGATGTCTGCTGTCAGCTGTGTAAACCACATCCAAAGGAGAACCTTGGGCACTAAGTACCTGCACGGGCATTTTCCCTTTTCTTTGTGGTGCAGTCCACCTGGGTGTCATGATGTTCTGTCATCACATGGCTGCGTACCGTTGCATAATGCAGGGGGCCTGGGCCTGCCTCTCAGAACGGATCCTCCTGCCGTCCTGCACCCTGACCCGTGTGGGAGACTGAGGATTCCCACCGGCGGCCCCCGAGCCACCAGCCACTTTTTCAGTCCCCGCCCCCAAGCATAACAGTTTGAGAGACAGAACCCCCTGCGTGTCTGCCACTTCACAGCAGCCAGGGCTGCGTCAGGCTGAAGCAGAGACGGGATCTCCCTGCATGTTTGCCACAGGGTGCCAGGAACCCAGGGAGAAGGGGAAGGATGGATCAGATGTGTGAGGCAGACCCTCGGAAACGGGATGCAGGTGTCTCAGTGGCTCTGGAACTCGCTGTGCCACAGTACCTGCCCCTAACAGGTGTACTTGTGCGGTGCGCATGTGGTCCAGGGGTTAGGATGCTGCCTCCCGCATTGGTGATGCTCCTGGGTTTGAGTCTGTCAGCACTTTTCATTCCCGCCTCCTGCTGATGTGGCTCCTGGAAAGCAGCAGGTGGTGGCACAGTAGTCAGGTTCCTGCCGTCCACATGGGGGCCTGGGCGGAGCTACTGGGTCATACTTCAGCCTGGCCCAAACCTGGCTCTTGTGGGCATTTGCAGAGTGAATGAATCAGTAGTGAGAGACTGGTATTTTTGAAACATTAGCTTGTTTTCAAGATGAGACTATTTGAAAGTGCCAGGGAGGCTCCAAGAGAGAAAGAGACCCTCTGTGTGCTGGTTCACTCCCTGGTGGCTTCAGTGGCCAGGCCAGAGCCTGCAACTCCATCCCATCAGTCAGACGCTCGGGCCATCTCCGCTGCTGGCCTGGACGCATTGGCAGGGAGCTGAGTCTGGGACAGAGGAAGCAGGAACTTGGCCTCCCAGGTGGGGTGTATGCTCTGTATGCTCGTAAAGCGGCAGCTGAGCCGTGCTGAGCCGTGCTGAGCCATGCTGAGCCCCAGGGTGTTTCCTCATGACTGAGGAGAGTTAGCTTAGAAGGCTGTATTGGAGCCCTGTGGGCAGGATCTGCTTCTGCGGGGCTGGTCAGTTTCAGCCATCCCTCAGAGGGCTCCCAGATGTGACAGCTGTGCTACCTGGGTGAGCAGACTGGGGAGGATGCCCAGGACGCTGAACCAGGGGTTCAGTTCCTGCTCCTCCATGCCCGTCAGCTTAGTGTGTGTAAGTCCCTCCTGTGGATTCTCCCACCGAGTTGTGATCAGTAGCATCATCCTTGCAGGGGCTCGTTCCCGAGACCACACCAGGGCAGGAGCTGTGAGCGGTGGAAGGCTGAGAGCGAAGCCAGCTCCAGAACAGCTCTAACACTCAGGACACCTGGAGAAGGAGGAGTTGACGTGATGGAGGGTAGTAATGGATCTGGCAGCTGCCAGTCCAGCCATTTCTGTTCTGTTATTGGAGTAAGTTTTCTAGCTGGCTGTTATAATCGATATCAAGATAGAACAAGATTGGTTATTTGTGGGGGCTTACAGTGTTTTATGGTTATGTTTGGCTTGCTTCGAGCAGGCCTACAAGTTGTGTGGTTGGTTCAAGTTACA